GCAATTATTAAAAAATCTAATCAAGTAAGCTGTAACTCTCACCAGTTTGATAAAGCTAGAGTATTTACAAAATAATTCATGATTACTATTAACAACGATATTTACAATGAAATTTCTCTGTTCAGGTATTTCTACATTTGGCTGCTTAATAAACTTTGATTTCGGCCACCTTGATTGTTCATCTGCTAACCATGCAGGTCCCATAAACCAGAATTTTGAATTAATGAGATTATCGACAGTAACACCACGGCTAACCAAATCAGCAGGATTGTCTTCTGATTTGACATGATGCCACTGATTGGACCGTGTCAACGTTAAAATTTCACCTACACGGTTAGCTACGAATGTTTTCCATTTGTTGGGTGGGCCCTTTATCCATGATAATGTAATTGTTGAATCACTCCAATAAAAAATGTTTTCAAATTCGACTTCTAGTGATTCAACAACCTTTTGAGTCAAATTCGCTAACAATTGAGCAGCACATAACTCTAAACGAGGTAAGCTCACATTCTTAATAGGTGCTACCCGAGATTTAGCACACATCAACCTTGTTGTATAGTTATTAAAGCCTAATTTTGTCCTAATGTATACACAGGCTCCATAGGCTCGCTCACTCGCATCAGCAAACCCGTGAATTTCATGAGAAATAGCTTCCGCTTGTGTTACCTGTCTAGGGATTACTATATTTACAATCCTACTAAGTTCATCGCTGAATTCTAACCATTCTACCTGTATATCATTTGGCACTGGCTCGTCCCACGAGATCTGCAGTTGCCACAATTTTTGAATCATTAGTTTAGCCACTATAATTACTGGAGATAAATAACCGAGCAAATCGAAAACTTGTGATACTTCCGATAAGATTATACGTTTTGTTATCACCGTTCTACTACGTCTATTCTGTACACTTACTGAGTATTTAATCTCGTCTAAACTAGAATCCCAGTAGATTCCTAATATTTTACATGTTTGATTGGTGGACAAATCGATTATATTACTACTTAAATCTCTATTGTTCACTTCGAATTTGTTTACTAGGCTCGGTACATTGGTCTGCCACTTCCTCAATTCAAATCCCGCTGATAAAAATATGTTCGATAAATCGTGCTGTATATCTAAGATACCTTGAACACTTTCACTACCTGTCAAAATATCGTCCATGTATGTATGTTTTCTTATAATTTTGCAAACTTTTGGATTTGTTGATTCATTCTCTATAGCTAATTGTTCAAGACATCTTGTAGCTAAATATGGAGCGGACGCCGTTCCATATGTTATCGTGTTCAATTCATAGCATTCTACGTTTTCCTCCGGACTATTTCGCCAAAGAATTCTTTGGAACCTTCGTTGGTCCGGCCGTATCAATATCTGCCTATACATCATGGCAATGTCTCCTGATAGGACATATGTATGCCATCGAAACGAAATCAAAATTGAAATTAGGTCATTCTGTATAGTTGGTCCAACAAATTGCGTATCATTGAAGCTCAAGCCCGAATCAGTTTTTGCGCTCGCGTCAAAAACTACTCTAACCTTCGTGGTGAGGCTAGCTTCCTTAACCACTGCGTGGTGAGGTAGATAACAACTAATCGATTCTTCCGCATCTTGTTCTTCGATCCTACTCATATGGCCTAGGTTTGCATATTCATTCATGAATTCCCTATAATGTTTCTGTAAATTTATGTCTCTTTTAAGTTTATTTTCCATTGAATAGAACCTATCTAACGCTATTTTCCGTGATTTTCCCAATTTCACCAAGTTTTCCCTCAATGGGATGCTTACAACGAAACGACCTTGTTCGTTTCGCCCAAAGTGTTCATTGAAATGGTCTTCGCAATACTGTTCACTATCCGAGAGTATCATTTTCTTAGAAATAGAGCCGTCCTCTATCTCCCAAAATTTCTCCACATTACGATTCAAAGTTTCTAAATTCAAACACATGTTATAATGATTGTTAGCTTGTACATCAGAACAATTCATGTTTCCGCCTATAATCCATCCAAGACTTGTTGATTGTAAATTGGGCTTGTTTTTTCCTAAAGGTATAATCTCATTGCGTAATAAATCCCAGTAAATGTTCGCCCCAAGTAAGATCTCAATATCCCCGCGCGTATTGAATGTTGGATCTGCTAATTGAATGTTCTCTGGGATTTCCAAACAAGTATAATCGAATGAGACCGATGGTAACTCTTCCGTGATTCTCGATATAACTAAAGTACGAATTGTCCTACTAAATACCCCGTCTAATGAACTGATTTTTATTGTTGTTTGGTATTCTACATTCGAAGATACTTCATTTATGCCGGTAATTTTAGATTGTATTCTTCTTTTATTCAAACCGAGTTTTTTGCATAAATCCATAGTTATTATAGAACTTTGTGACGCGTTGTCTAACAAGGCCCTACAAGTGTGTGCCTTGCCCGTTGTATCAAATACCTGCAATAATGCAGTCGAAAGTACTACCTGACATAAGTTCGTGTTGTCTAATGCATGAAGCACATTTGAATTGTTAGAGGTGGCAGCCGAGTTGCTATTGGTATGTTCCGAGCCTGTATTCCTACCGATATTCCTATTTACATCCGTGTTGTGATCTGCCCTCGTATTTTCCGTGTTGTTTTGTGTAGCCAAATGTAGTAAAGAATGATGCTTTCTACCACATTTGAAACACCCTAAAGAGATACATTCTCTTACCAAATGATTTTTTCGTAAACAGTTCAAGCATGCACCAAGACTTTTAACCTTGCTTATTCTGTCATTCACCGAAAGATTCAAAAAAGTTTCACATTTGTATATTGAATGATCAGCCCTACAGATTATACAGTACATGCCTCGATTTGTACTGACGTATGTATTCGTACTTGGTGGTACCCGATTCCTGTTCTTGTTGAATGAATTATTCCTGTTGTCTACCGTATTTTCTCCTTTACTTACTTCGAGTTGCTCCAAAATCTCACATTTATTTTTCAAAAATTTATTCATATCCGCCATACTGGGTAAATCGTTGGCTATCTCGAACGATTCCCAATCTCTACGCGTTATCGGATCGAATTTGCTTGACATTATGTAAATAATGATGGTATCCCACTCATCTGTCTTTAGATTCAGGGAGTTTATTGAACGTAAATTCTTGTTCACATTGTCGAATAGCTGTCTTAGTTTTGTGTGCGATTCCTTTATTATGGATGGTTGATCAAAAATAGCCTTTATATGATTATGTATTATCAATCTCTTGTTTTCATACCGCTCGCATAACATATCCCAAGCAACCTTATAGTTTGCTGCCGAGACTGTGATGGACTGTATAATTTGGATTGCTTCGCCTTCAAGAGATGATTTCAAATAGTAGAATTTCTGAATATCCGATATGTCCTTGTTTGCATGCACTAAAGCTGTAAATGAATCCCTAAATTCAAGCCACTGAATATAGGAACCCCCAAAACACGGCAACTTTATTACCGGTAGCTTAACTTGTGTTGATTCGAATCGACTTTCTTGTTTTGCATGATTTCGATCACGTTCACCCTGTATAACTGAATATGCCGATATGAGATCCTTAGCCTTCGAAACTAATTCAAAATAATCGTTTTCGTACGTATCGAATTCCAAAACTTCTGACAATGGTCTATCTTCGTCTAATAATGCATCAATTTCAAATTGTACGTTACTAAATTCCTCATAGTATGGTTCTAATTTCGAAAGTCTCAATTCAAGCTGTGTCACTGTGTTGCTAGATAATTTGGTTACATCGCTATCCAAGGAATTGAAATAAATTTTGAATCGAGATAGTTGCTCTTTCAAAAACTGTCTTCTCTGTTTAAGTTTATCTACTGGTAACGCCATATCTATAAATCAAAGACCACGACCTCTGTATTGACTCAAATAAAACAATTAAGGATGGGTTATAAAATGATAAAAGAACGGACTCACTCGTTCCTTGAAGTTCAGTTTCGACTTTTTGACTGTAGCTTTCTATTTGCTACCTGCTCCCTTTGTTCAATGCTCCGTCATCTGGTTTTCGTCAGCTCCAGAAGCACCCTTCGTTCCGGTGCCCTTGCGTTCCCAAGTCTTCAACCAACTATAAAGTTTCACCAATTCGCTGCATAAAATTCCTTTCACTTGTATAATGTCTTATTGTTTCACAGGTTTATTACTGCCGAAATTATTCACGTGTTGTTTCAGTAATAATCCAACTGTATCATCTATATTATATTGAGTAATATAGCCGAAGAATCTGTATGTCCCAAATTCGGAGTCTATTCGTATTGTAGCTCACAACTCACAATTTCACTAAACGCCTTCACGTATGTATTCAAAAAGTCTATAATGTTTATTCACTTGCTAGCTGCTGTGACCACATCAGGCGAGACAAGGACCAAAATGTTGAATTGTAGGTTGTAGTGGACTGTAACTTGATTAAAATGCTGGTTGTCTTGACAAATAGGTATATTTATTTGCCAAAGGCGTTAGTTGGGGTGTGAAGTGCACTATACAACAACTGAGAACAGACTGCTTTCTTTTTTACTCTCGAAGGGTATTCGAGGGTACGACACTTTCATCTCAGGTCAATTTCTTGGCGACAGGAATAATATACAGAGTCTTAACAGAACATGCCATGCCAAAAACTATGAAATTCGATCTCAGCCTACTCATTTTATGAGCAAAATAATTAGAAAAAAAAAAAACTTCAACGTCTTGTACCAATTCAACGAGACGATTTTGGATATAGGTGAGTTGGCCTAAATCAACTTGTTTTTATCCTAGGAGTACACAGCCGAGCCCAACCTTTTACAGACACTCTGTATACCTTGCGTAAGAATGCTATTAGAGCTCAAGAAAAAAAAAAGTGGTGAAAAAACCTTTTGATAATTTTTCCAAGTCTGAGCTAAATCATTAAAACAATCGCTCCATTTGAACAAAAATCAAAATCCTCCGAAAAATCATACCCCACCCTTCGAGGACATTCGAAAAGAAAAAACCCAACCGAATCACACGCTACTCACTTGAATCCGCCCTTGTCGTCGTCCGGCCCGCCCACCTGCCCGTTCTGCACGACCACCTGTTGCCCCCCGCCGCCCCCACTCCCACCCCCACTGCCGCCTCCTCCGCCCCCGTTACACTCCTCCTTGTTCGACGGACTGCCCTGCGACGCCGGCTGCTTGCCCATCTCCTTCGACTCCTTGTCGTCGGGCAGGTGTAGCGCGCGCATTCGCGGTTCCAAGCCGCCCCCGCTGCCGCCCCCGCTATCCTTGCCGGTAGGCGACGTGCCCAACACGTACTCGACCATTTTGACGCCGAGACCGCCGTTGTCGCTGCCGCGGGGCGATAGGATGCCGCCGCCCGTCGGGTCGCCGTTGCCGCCCGCGGTGAACGGGCCTCCGCCCACGCCGCCGCCAGGTCGTCTGCCCATCGCCAGCGAGGCGGACACGTTGTGTTCTGGAACAAGAGAGGAAGAAACGGTTCAACTGCATGCCACAGACGTGCTTATAGAGCTAGGGGATTTGTTCACGAAACCGCCCTGAGTGTACAGGGTGGCCAACTAAGACTCCAGAGTTCGATTTCTCTGTTGTCTTGAGAGATACAAAAAAAGTCATGTATCAAAATCGAAGTAATAACCGAGCTTCACATTTGAAAATTTCTTTGAAATACACAGGGTGTTCCGTAAGGTCACAGCACATCAAAGCTATGTTTTTTTCATCGGAACACCCTATATTTTATTTCATTTTTGTATTCCCCCTGGAGATCTGATTTCAACGACGTATCATACTTAGAGTCTACCAGTGGAAGTTACTGACATATAGGGTGTGCAAAATCGAGATTTTCCAAGTTCAGGATTCTTTCCTGTAGAAACTGTTCATTATTCGTCAAAACGGTTTACATGAACCTATCTCAACTTTTCACTCACTATCAATTGGTGTTCAATTGAAATTGATACAAGGTGGTCAAAAAATCAAAAATTTTAATTTGTTTCAATTAAATGTCAATTGAACACCAATTGATAGTGAGTGAAAAGTTGAGATAGGGACATGTAAACCGTTTTGACGAATAATGAACAGTTTCGACAGGATAGAATCCTGAACTTGGAAAATCTCGATTTTGCACACCCTATATGTCAGTAACTTCCACTGGTAGACTCTAAGTATGATACGTCGTTGAAATCAGATCTCCAGGGAGAATACAAAAATGAAATAAAATATAGGGTGTTCCGATGAAAAAAACATAGCTTTGATGTGCTGTGACCTTACGGAACACCCTGTGTATTTCAAAGAAATATTCAAATGTGAAGCTCGGTTATTACTTCGATTTTGATACATGACTTTTTATTGTATCTCTCAAGACAACAGAGATACTCTGGAGTCTTAGTTGGCCACCCTGTACAGGCTGATTTTTTTATATTTCATCCGATAGCTATCTCGGTTGATTTTGGTCTCACAGGTATGTTCAACTGGGCAAAAAAGAAGTATTTTTATAGGCATTCAGAATCTAGTACTAGAAAATGCAGAAAAGCATTGTAAGCCTGAAATATTTACGTAAACTTGTATTTATTTTTAATCGATTATGCTCTTTCTTCAGATTTCAAATACACAATACAGTTATTTGAAGTTATCTTTGTCAGTTTTCAGGAAATATAGACTCTAAGGCCGCTGTAGAACACCTGAGATCGCACCATTGTCGTCTGGCGTTATACACCTGCCTTAGATCCGTGGGACGGCGGTCAAAATTGTGTACAACAAACTTCAATTTCACAAGGAATTCCAAGAAATTCCAAGGAACTTCGAGGAATTCCAGTTGTTTGTACCCCAGAATTATACCGTACTTCACACAAGGAATTTCAAGAAACTCCTACGAATTCCAGGGAATTCTAAGGAAATCCAAGGAAATCCAAGGAATTCCAAGGAAATCCAGGGAAATCAAAGGAAATTCCAGTTGTTTGTACACCAGAATTATACATGATATCGCACTCCTCTTGAAGAATTCCAAGGAAATCCAAGGAATTCCAGGGAATTCCTAGGAATCTAAGGAATTCCAAGGAAATCCACGGAAATCCAAGGAATTGTAAGGAAATCCCAGGAATTCCTAGGAATTCCAGTTGTATGTACACCAGAATTATACCGCACTTCACTCAAAGAATTTCAAGGAGATCCAAAGAATTCCAAGGAAATCCAAGGAATTCCAAGGAATTCTAAGGAAATCGAAGGAATTCCAAAAAATTCCAGTTGTTTGTATCCCAGGAACCAGGAATATACCGCATTTCACCCAAGGAATTCCAAGGAGACCCAGGGAATTCCAATGAACTCCAGTTGTTTGTACACCAGAATTTCACTGCGGTTTACCCCTCGCTTAGATCTATATCAAAAAAATCTATATTTTTCAAATACTGACAAAAAATTACCTCAATGAGATAAAGGGTGTCACATTTAAAATAAAAAAGTTCATGTAGAAATTTTAGGTTTGCGATGCTTTTATGCATTTTCTACTAATATATTCTGAATGCCAATGAGAGTATATCATTTTTGGCCATTTCAACTTTTCTGTAAGACCAATATTAACTGATGTCTGAAAAAAATTAAAACAATCATCCTGTACAGTGGATTTGTTCACGAAACTGCCCTGAGTTTACACAGTATGAGCCTTGGGAAACTTTGCAAAAAAATTTTTCGAATCGAACGATCTTTAACGTGTTCTTTTCCAGCATTTAGTTTGCATATGTATTCTGGAAAATCAAAACACTGAGTTATCTATCAATGGATGATAATGCGTTTTTTGTTCACAAGCCGCCCTGAGTGTACACAACTATGACCCCCTTGTGAAACTACCTTGTGAAACTACCTTGAAAAATATATCAGATACTGAGAAGTTATTTCATGTTAGACATCGTTTTCACCAAACCGCCCTGGGTGTACACAACTGGGTATGGGCCTGCGGAAAAGTTTTTCGAATCGAAATATAAGAAATCGATATAAGAACTACAGTCTTATATCGGCTGATTTTTTTGTATAGCTATAATTAAACCAAATTGGACACTACTCAAAAATTCCTATTTTTCTATAGGCAGACAAAAAATTATATTGATGCCAGATGATGAATCTTTATGACGCGTATCAAAAGTTTTCATTTGTCAAAAATTCGTTGTCGAAAACATTTTCAAAGTGATGAACTTGATAAAATAAAATCTATCCTATGAATTTGGTTGGAACTACCGAGTTATTTTTCTGGAAAATCAAGAACAATTTCCCGAACATTTTAGCGCCTTGTATAGAAAACATATTGTTTGAAGTCACAAAAAAAACCATTATCACTCTGTATATTTTCATTAGAAATACTAGCACTCTTTTTTCTTATTCAACGTTCCGAATGGAAACCGTAATTTCAATTAGTCAGACACTCTTAGAGAGAAACAACAACGTCACTTTCACACCCATCGAAGTGGGCAATTAATTTTCCCTCCACCCCACCACCCTCTCTTCTTTTTCTCGTCGCCACTTTTTATCGGCCTTTTTTGCGAGCGAAACGATTTCCCGGTCTCCTCGAGATTTTTCACGATATCGTGTATATGCGGTTCTCTTTTTTAGCAGAAAAAGCAGGCAGAAGAGTGAGGACGAAAGGGAAGGAAAATTGGGGTGGGTATGGTTGACGTGTTTAATATAGAAACGTTCAGAGTAAAAATGCCTCGAAAAATGCATAATGTTCTCCGGTAACAGTAAAATCACAAGAGCTTTTTTTTTTCAACAGTACAAACACGAGAGCTTTTTTTTTATCGGATAATTTCTCTTGGTAACGAAAAACATTTGCCCATCAGTATTTATACGAGAAAAATTGACATGAAAACATTGCAAGACCGTTCGAGCAATTTTGTATAATATCAGTTTTTCGAGAGAAATAACTGATGTAAAATGTTCTTAATGGAACTCAATTTTCAGAAATTCTCTCCTGAGGATAGTCTAAGATCGACCAAAAACATCCGAAATTTGCTCGCAATGAAGAATTTGTATACTATACAGAGTGATACATGAGATATACGATGAATTTTTTTAGCCGTCTACAATAATTAATAATGAAACAGGAAATTATGAGAATTTGCTATATAACTTTGAAGACCGATATGAATCATCACCTATCTCAATTGAGACTATCTGAGACGTCCTACTATGTGAAAATATCCAGGGCCGGCCAGAGAAAACTTATTTTTCATTTTTATGTTAACAAAGTTGACCAAGAAGTTTACTTGTGGTCAATTTCAAAGAAAAAAATTGTCAGATCAGGCATACGCTTTTCAATTCGAATGGCACACATCAGACATGTTGAATAAAATAAGGTCAAACAGGAACTTTTTAATGGATTTTTAATTTTCACATTCATAGTAGATTGTTAGCATCTAGCAACTAGATGCGCTACTGCTCAGTGGAATGTGCTTAGATCAGAGCCTATGACAGACGTGTGGGAAGACTGGTTCATATAGTACTCGGCTGGCAGCCGAATTGTGAGCAAGTTTAACCCTTGTCCATGTCATTTTTGCTCGTGTTTATTATAGATGAATCTCAAAATTCCACTAAAATCAGTTAATTTGTTTTAGATTCTCGTAAAGAAAGAGTTGACATAAAACAGTAGTTGGAAAAATGTAACTGAATGGTGAATTGAAACAAAGGAACCATTGAAGAGATCAAACAGAAACGTTAATCTTTGCTAGAAAACCTAGATAAACATCAATCTGTTTTATAAATTGAGATCAACTTTGATTATTAGCCTACTTTTTTTAAATAGTGCCCATTATAAAATAACGTTTTCATTTATTCGAATTCTATAGACAGTACAGTCATTTCAAAATCGGTTCAGACAGTAGAAGAATAATGGAGATTGTTGAATAAAATGAACATTCTTGAGAACCCGTTTTTTCATTGATAATTTGATTTCTCGACTATGGACATTGACAACAATTCCACAACTAGTAGCATCAAAAATATATAGCATATTGTGGTATTAAAGATTTTCCCGCCATAATCAAAATGTGAATTATCCATCGACTTCTGTGTTACAGCATATTGAAGATGCCGCAAAACGTCCAGTGCAAGATGCAATACTCCAGCAGCTGTAAGTGTTCGGGAATTATGTTGATAGTGAGTGCTCGACTTTTTTGTTCACCACCCTGTAAATATCGGTTTCAACTTTGTTAGTAATGAATTAGATGAATTTTAGAACGATTTTAGGTAATTGAAAAAGTAAATGACCGATTTCAACAATCGAAACGCGTTCTTATCTTTTCCTGTTACCATGATTCCTAAAAAGCTACGAGATATGTCCTACATAAAGATTAAATGTTAGGCCGACCATCTTGAATATTAAGAAGGTGACCACTTTTGTTATGTGCACAAAGAAATCTACATTCATCTATCAAACAACCACTGAAATAAGACAAGAAATAAGAAAGTAATAATAAAATCAATTCGATTCGGCACTTTGGCAAATACAGTTTTACTAAATACGGTCCTGTAGGACAAGGCATGTTTTACAGAGGACTTGTGCTAAAAGACAAATGCCAAGATTTCGCAACATTTTTCATTCAATTGAATTATTATGGGAGATACAAAAATCATGGGCTTGAAATAAAAAAGTGTCATTGTTTATTTGGCACCTATACTAAATACGGCCCTGAGAGCTGAATCTTTGGACTTAGAGGATTGGTCACAAATGAAAACATTCGATCAGAAACTCCATACCAATAACATATGTGAATTTCAGGCAAATCCCACCGTGGGCCAATTTCCTATGGTTTTGTGCGGGGTCCTTTGCGTATTCCCCATGAAACTGAAAATGAACGACATATTTGGTAAGTTTTTTTTTCTTCAGATGATTCTGCCCCGACGAAACGTGACACACCCTGTATAGGGGGAGAGCTGGGCGTGCCGGGCCTCGACGCCGTCTCCATGGGTACGTCGCCAGCGTCTGTTACCCGGGCGACTCCCGCTTTCGGGCTAGCGACGTGCCGGCTTGCCAAATTTACGGGAAAATCAGCGAAAACCAGAAAAAATGCGAATTCGAAATTATATTATTTGCCGAATTGTTTTCACCCTCCGGTATGATGCATCTCGAAAACGTAACGATATTTCATTCTAATAGCGGAAATGTCTTAGTGGTTGATTTAATATAGGTGAATATTGCAGGCAAAACATTGTTGCTCAGTATTTGGAATATCTTAATGAAAACAAAAAAAAAACACCACTTCACGTTTGATGTTAAATTCAAAATTGAGAGGACAATTCATGTACAGGGCTAGTTTTATTAATGTGAACCCACCTTTATCTTTTTTGTTTTCCACTCATCCAAAAAAATTGAATGCTGATTTTATATCAAAGATATATTGCAACACTGTCACAATGATTGGAACCTGTATGAATAATACTTATATACAATCAGTTATAATTTTTTTTTGAATGAGTGGAAAACAAAAAAGATAAAGAAGGGTACACATAAATAGAACTAGACCTGTACATACAGGGCGGCAGAAACTGCATGTTCATGCCCTATTAGGAGAGAAGGCTAAAACGGTCCACTTCAAGCCGAATTTGTTTTTTTTTTCCATATTAATGACGTCATTAGATTATGTTTTCCTAGAAACATACCAATATTATGGCACATTTAAAAACGTCCAATTCTTCTCTGCCTAATAAAAAAATCATAACTATATGAGTTCCCTAGGAAAAAAACAAAATTCTCGATTATTTTCGTTTTTTTTTTATTAATTCAAATCTTCTTTGATCATCCCTCTAATAAATGTTTCATGTTGATTTTGTGATAGAAACTGAACTGTTTTTCAGAAATTATTGAACTTATCTAGAAAATGGGGTGCAATTTGAAAAAATTCATGTCAAAAGTGGTACCTGGTTGATTATTTGACACTAGATTTGACCGGACCAAATTGGTTTCTATTTCGAAGTCCTTTTGATCCCGCATAAATGCTATGCCATAATAATTTTTCTCAAATTTATTATTTTGTATAGAATAGTAATTCTGAAGATAGATTTCGTTAAAACGATATGATGCAGGAACAATTTTTTTTTCGAAAATTTCCCATTGCTCCGAAGGGTACCCATCTATCGCACTGGAATAAAGGACACGCCGTATATCATAGTTTCTATATATCATGTGCCTTTACGTCACGTTCCGAGCAATCGAAACCATCCCCTGCCATTCCCATTTCCGGTCATCCTCGATCGTTTCTACTTCCTTTTCCGGCAAACGAATCTCGATAGATATACGAATACGAAAACGAATCACCTAAAAGCACAAGAAACAAATCCCGACCCATGAAAAAAAGTCCAGAGTTTTTTTTTCAATTCCCTTCACATTCATGATCGTTTTCACTGATTCACGAAGGAAAAACGCAGCACATAGGTCAAACACGAGATAATTTGGTTGCACGTCTGCAAGAACATATTACCACCAATCGTTATTTCTACCTTATCTTAAATGGACCAAAATAGAAATAACAGACCTGCTCGTTCGTTGGAACATACATTTCACATGATTTAATTTTTTTTGTAAATTTTCGCTTACCTGGAGCTGCCCACGTGGGGTCTCTCCACACTCCTTCATGATTGAGGGCCAATTTACTGGTAGCGTCCTTGGTTTCGAAGCCCCATAATTTTTTTGCTGCCGGTGCAATCTGGAACAAAAGATAATTTGATTGAAAATCACTTTTTTCAATTTGAAAGACAATATAAAGTCACGCAACAAATTTTGTTGTTGAATCAAGTATATAAATTTAGTTCATTTGATGAAATCGAGGCAACATCTCTCTTTGAACAAGTCAATCATGTGTTTAGTTCATATTAGATACTGATTTCAAACTAGGAAATATTTCTTATATGGGCCAAAACAGAAATAACACACCTACTCGTTTGAGGGAACATACATTTTGTAAAATAATTCACTCATAAATAAGAAATAGTTTTACTCATTTCAAGACAAATCTCATCGTGCATATAATTATGATACTTTTATTGTTTGGTTTCGTATATGTACGACTCATTTTTTTCCGTGTTTGAAGCTACTTTTTACTCACATCCTGTATAATATCGAATACCCGATTAATTCAATCCCGTTACGGATTCAGAAGTTACGCTCCCGATATTATTTACTTTAGGGATCCAAGATGGCGGCCGGATTCAATTAACGTACTTACAGTCTCGATAAATTGGGTTTTCTCGAGTAAACATGGACGCCGAAAGGTTCGAGATTTCTGAGGAAAAGGGCTATTAGAAATGAGATCGAATGAAACCGAGTTAATCTTCATTTGATTACCGCCTACACTGTGACTCATTATTTTTCAGGTCATCACCTTGAGGAATTTTTATGCCCGAAAAATACAAACCTAAACCTCGACTATTGACTTCTATTACATCAATAATTGATTGAGGAATAATATATGTTTCATAATTGGGTATTAGCATGAATCATTATGGTAAAACAATGGTCTTGATTACATACTGAACGTTCTATATAAATAGTTGTAAGTTAATCACACATTCCGTATCTACAAAACCGATGTGTAATGAATTCTTATGTTAAATTATCCACTACGGAATTGTTTGGTAATTGAAAAAAAAAACTATCGACTAATTATAAACCAATCTCGATGTATTTCCAGGTTATCTTGAACAATTATTGAATATCGATAACCCAAATACAGCATTGAATGATAATTAACGAGAAAAACCTTGCACAGGGTCAGTTTATTTTTAAAGGACAAACATGAATTGTGATAAGCACTTTTTTCTCTACTACGTTGATGAATCAGTCAGTATACACATCCTCGCGTTATTAAAGCTGAAATAGAACCTCCTCCGTATTAGTCGCAGGGAAAGTATAGTCCTCTACTCGCTCATAGAAACTTTCATTATAAATCCGACACAGATCGATGAATAAAAGCTCCATGAAGAGTAGTTATAGAGATGTTTCACGCCCGTGAATTAAAACTCACCAATTACAAGTGAAAATGGAAAAGTCTTGAGCACTTCATTTACTGCCTCGACGCCTCAATTTAGCGAGTAATACATTTTTCAGGCCATAATGAATGATCTCGGGCGTTAAAGTAAACTTCGCCAAGCGACAAACGCAAATTGGCGTCTGGAAAACCTCTGAGAAAAGTGAAAAGCGCTGCTTGAACACGGGAGAACTAACATAACCTAACCTAAAAACACCGGCCATAAACTAGAAATATTCCGATACGTTCAGGTAGGTACACAGTTGAAGATCGATTAGTTTATGCCATCCGAAACGTCGGATATTCCATACCACCGCCCCCCTACTGAGTGAAGAATCATTTATGGGGCTTGTGTCCCTTCATTCACTAGTCATCTTTAATCTGGAGATATAGGGAGGCGGGTTGGAGAACATGCTGCATCATCCTGTTCCCTAGGGTAATCGAGCGGGGTTGAAGCGAACATTGAGATTTTTACGCCAGACGGTTACTTCGGTGATCGATCAAAAACTATTTTGTTCCGAAATCCATCAAGTACAGATGGCGGTCGAAAAGTGAGTCAGTGTTTATCTAATGTTGAGACAAAATAACAGGAGTTTTCGGTATTTTTCATACAGGATTCTTTATCCCACACCTGACACCACAAATGTATAACTTGAAACCAGGGAATACTGGAAACTGTTTGATGTAATACAACTAATGATAAACACCAGTCACAAAAAGGACTTGAGGAACTTATAAGAAAACATTTCGGACATCTTCTGAACTGAACCCAGCTTATTTCCTCAAACAATGAAGTAAACGTAGATGTATTCAGGCAATTATTAAATAGTATTCGTCAGGAACTTCAAAAGCATGCATCACAAGATCCCCCCTTTCCTTCATTTTTTTCCAGTCAACTTGAAATTTTTCCAGTCAACCCGTTCAAAAAATAAGAGAAAAGCCCTATATATATGTTGTGCAGACCTGATCAACTCTGGATTACATTCAATCAAACACATCAATGAATTGTGTTGAAATAGATATTGAATTGACCCAAACAATTTTTTGATTGATTCAAGATGACAAGTTATTGATTCAATGAAATATGTCCACTAGAATAACAAGTGAACTTCTTTAACTGATCTAAGAATATTTTCGGCTTGCTAAGCATCTCTCTCTTAAGATCGATTAATCCAGCTGATATTTCAAAAACGAACAATCAGTCTTTATGTATAATTAATTCGAGGCACGTATAGACGAGGCCAAAAGATCGCCATCTAGTGGTAAAAATGTAACTTGATGTTGAATTAACGATCCATTCGAGAAACATTCGAAAATCTACAAAATGTATATCGTTGAATTACCAAAATTTGTTTTTGAGATGACCATGAAATTGATATAACTACTGTTTATTCCACTGAACTATATTCTTGATTCAAACGAGCTGCTTCTTTGAAATGATCATGGTATCTGTTTAATTCTACAAATATGTTGCTTAACCCGATATAAATGATCCAAACAAATAATTCGTTGATGCAAAAAATCCCATTTTTCTCGTGTATATTTCATTCGCAGGACTAAAAAGAACTAACCATAGTGTTACAGACAACAACTAAATCCAGCAATCAATCTGAAAATGACGTAGTATGGACGACAGGATATAACTGAATCAGCACATGTTCAATAATTCAACTAAACCACCCCGAGTTTTAACGAACACATGAAACAAAACAACCTCCATCATTATGAAATAGACGACCATTACAAAAACAAACATTCAACCCTTGGACCGCACATCATTTCGACATAATATACACAAAACACTATACATCATTACATTACACTATTACACACTTATACTTATATACAAAACTTTGGATAAACGCCGGACAAGTCGAACGCATACTGACGAGGGTAGGTATAAACGAGAGGGTGGGGGTGTCCAGGGGTAGTTAAAACATAGGCGCACCACCGAATATTTATCGGGGAGTTTTCACTTGAAGACTTTAGTGTAGACCATTGATATTGATATTCAATAGACGGGATGAAATCTTTAGAGTCCGACTCTGGTCTGCAGGGATTCAGAGAGGCGGGGGATGAAGACCTTGTGCAACACACCCCAGGGGGATGCACGGGGTGCTGAAACTTCAAGAGGTTTCACGAAGGTATAGAATGTCGGGTATGGGGGTATGTTTTTGTAGCGTCATTATACGGAAAATGGAAACCAGTTGGCCAGATTCGTATTTCCTTCATATCATTATACAGTGCGTCTACCTTAAGGACTGTCTACCCCTGAGAAATCTCCAATTTTCGATAGATCTTGAAGAATTTTTTTTCACAAATATCAACGTAAGTTCTTTCAAAATGGTAAAGTAATAAATCTTTCGATGTAATCCTATTTCTGGAGCACATTAGAATAAAGACAACTGATGCGTATTTCATATCACCGAGGTATCTTTCTTGTAACGTTATTTTTCCACATCTGCTATGTACAGTGTGTCCAGTTTTCGATGCTTTTGCCTGATATCTCAGTTATCTTTGAAGATAGAACCTTGCGGTTTTCGCGGTCCTGTGCCACTTTTTCGTGAAACTCAAGATGGCCTAATCAGATTTTGCAAGACTGTTTCCGTTTATGAGATACAGGGCGATTTCGAAAATTTATACTTTTTGGACCCCCTCTATATCCACGAACTTTCTCAACAAAAATATCAAATCAAAATTTAATCGCATAGAGAATTTCACGCATAATCCAGTGGCGCACTCAAATTTTTTTTTCGGGGTATGGTTTTGGAGATACGACTCAAACTTATGATTTTTTAAATGGAACACTCTGTATTTCATAAGCTCATTACATTCCTCATTTTTTTGTCTTCAAAATGATATATAACGAATGAATATAAAATTTTCAAAATTGCTCGAAATCACTAAAATATTGAATTTTGATAGTTGGTTATGGATTTTTCTTATAAAAAACGTTCCAATTGAAGAAATATTTCTTCAAATTTTTCCATGGAGAGGTCAAAACCAATATCAACACTTATTAATTAACAAAACACTAAACTTGGGTACCTGATAGCAACAAATAAATAGTAATAAAAAGTTTATAATGTAGAATAAGCACCTGATTAAATATCAACTGAAACAATTGAATTCCGGAATTATTCAGTAACTTATCCATTGACATGTTCAAATTGATATCCATTTTCCCTAACATACAGTTGACAAACTTTCTTAATACTTCTTAATACAGTGAGTGGCCCAACATACTTGAAGAACTTTGTGCAACAACAGAGGCAGTTTTCCAGGAATTACAAAGAGTACTTTCCATGATTAATATGTATTGAGAGAGTTTGTGATGGAAAATAGACATCAATTTGAACAATTCAATGAATAAATCACTGAATAATTTCGAAATTCAATTGTTTTAGTGAATATTCAATGAGGTGCTTATTCTACATTATAAACTTTTTATTACTATAGATTTGTGGATATCAGGTATCTAAGTTTTGTGTATTGCAAGTTAATTAGTGTTGAAATTGTTATTACCCCTTTCATGGAACAATCAAAGCAAATATTCCTTCAATTGTGAATTTCTTTATATGAAAATCCCTCGAAAAACCCATAGCCTACTATTAAAATTCAATGTTTCAGTGATTTTTGAACATTTTTGAAAATGTTATATTCATACATCATATATCATTTCGAAGGGAAAAAAATAAGGAATTTAATGAGCTTGTAAAATACAGGGTGTTCAATTTGAAAAATCATAAGTTTGAGTCGTATCTTCAAAACCACACCCCGAATGAAAAACTTTTGTGCGCCACTGGATTCTGCATAAAATTCTCTATGGGTTTAGATTTTAATTTGACATTTTAGCTGATAAACTTCGTAGATATAGAGAGGGTCCAAAAAGTATTAATTTTCAAAATCGCCCTGTATCTCATAAACGGAAACAGTCCTGCGAAATCTGATCAGGCCATCTTCAGTTTCACGAAAAAGTAGCACAGGACCGCAAAAACCGCAAGGTTTTATCTCCAAAGATAACTGAGATATCATGCAAAAGCATCGAAAACTGGACACACTGTACATACAACACAAATTACACGAATTAATTTTTAAATATGGTTATAGAATCGTACCGTAAACAGGAATTGAATAGTCTTCAATGTCACATTGCCAATCCGTGACCACGAAGGAGAATAAAAAAATCAAAACGCATGACATGCAAAAAGTAACGAACAAGAAAAAAATATCAAGTGATCGACCACTATTCAGCTATTGTCTCGTACAATACAGATGGAATGCTCGTTATTGCAAAATGAAATTCAATGTACGTACAATGAATGGACACGTAATGATTATTATGACAGAATGATTGGAATGGCTACACCCTACCCTCAAATTGATTTGATACGTTGCTCAAGATTTTCCGTATTAGAATAAGTTCTTGAAAGGTCAACGTGTAAAGTAGTTACAAGAAATACAATTCATAATATATCGGTATACGAAGAAATGGATCTCATAACTGAAAGATCCATCAATAATGAATAGATTTGCCACAATTGAAGTCAGCAGAGCATTGCTGTTTCGGTCCAACATGCATCATCAGTCGATATCGGTCTGCTGACAAATGAGACAACTCGAGGATCCATGTTTATCAGTTTAGATCATACTCACAGTGGAGTGAGATGATCGCAATCCTATCGATAGTAATTCTATCACAAATCAAAGTCATCCAGTTGCTTACTAACACCACGAATTCGCAGGACGAGTGCCACTCACTTACTACTAGTGCTGCACTTATATATACTACTTATAAATATTATTAGGAAGGAAAGAAACAATTTATTTGTTTTTTTTTAGGAACCAAATTGGCTCCAAAATAAATGGTGAATTCAAAAACAATGTTGGTTTTCAGCAAAATCAGTGGCTTACAATTGTTTTCTTCAAAAATTGTCAGTTCATACCCCGTACGGACGTCACTGGTGAAAATTTTAAAAAATCTTTCACGTCAAAAAATACTTCTGAATGATGGAAAAGTGAGTACAAAATTTCTTAAAAATATCTGAGACTGATAAGAAATTATGACGAATAACTCTAATTTCTTGCAATTTTAACACCCTATAGCTCAGAAACTAATAGGTTCAGGAGGTTGATATAAACTGAAATCACTCGAGAATTCACACCTTTTATTATACGCCTCTCAATTAAACACCCTGTAGAGTGTAATTTCAAGCTACTTCCCCGAGAAAAAAAAAACCTGAAATTTTTTAGTTGCTGTAACGATACAAAATACAGGCTTTCATTGGTTGAAAATGTTGTCTAGTAGTTCAATTCAGTGATTCCTATTTGAACAAGGATTGAGGCATGTTTCGACCATTCGAATAGTCATCATCAGCCAGGAAGACATAAAACGAATCCACAATAGAAACGTTACTTTACCCTATGTCTGTCGACTGATGACTGATGATCAACATTCGAATGGTCGAAACATGTCTCAAACTATTCATTCATTCATGAAAATACGTCAACCGCGTGCCGGTTTTCGTTGGTTGCCGCAGCTTTCGCGTATTTTCCGAAGGTGCAGTGCGGAATCGGCCGTTTTCCCCGCATATAGCTTCGCCCGGCTAAATTTCCCCTCTTTCCCCTACCGACAACCGGTGCTATCGACCAACGGTCTCTAGCCGGAACGCTGCCAAAGAAAAGAAGAAGAGTTACATAGACCATACAACCCCGTTGGGGTTAACGACTCTCACCTACGAAAGACCCCTAATCACCCTATAAATTGAACTAGATCTCACAACTAAGAGACCTATAGGATGAACAGAGTTGCCCAATTGTCAGCAGGAGCGAGGCAGTACTGTTTCGGTCTACCAGGCCTCATCAGCCGCTCTCGGTCTGCTGACAACTGGAACAACTCTACGCTTCGGGTATATCACATATTTCGAAGACGCGCAGGGTTGGTAAACTTATTGGAAATTCAAAGAAATAAGTCTATTTTAAGCGATCAATGTGAAAAAATATAACTTTTGACAAGTAACGAGATAGTAGCGTGACTCCGACCGAGTAGGTCATTTTCCATCTTTCTTGAAGCAAAACTGAGGCCCATATCGAATTTCAAAATAAATAATTATTGAATATTTTTCCCATATGATGCCAATTTTATGAATGACACTGTATAGTCAACACGTGCAGACCCCAGACGATACTGAGTGTTTTGCGTTTTTTAAGGATTCCCATTTTTTCCAGATTTTGCAGATTTTCTATATTTTCCAGATGTTTCCACATGTTTCCAGATTTTTCGAGAATTTTTCTAGATTTCTCCAGAATTGTTTCAGATTCTTCCGGAATTTCTCCAGAATTTTTCCAGAATCCATTAAGATTTTTCCAGATTTTTTCTGGTTTTTGGGTTGATCTCTACATTGGGTTGGATTTCTACGATAGGTTAGCTCCCTACGTTGGTTGGGTTAGGTTACGAGCACTCTAGATTTCAAAAATTTTTCCCAAAAAAATTCTCCATTAAAATACGGTTCTTTTGACATATTAGGTAAATACCGGAACCCAAGCGCCACTGTTAGTTTAATAAGTATGGAAAATATACAGACTGAGTATAAAATGTACCTCACTCAATGCAATTGAAGAACCTCATTCCAGATTTTGATGATCGTTTTTCCTTCCCTTATAATTCTCATAAAATAAGTTCTCTTATTTACAGAGAACTTAGTACCTAAAAGCTGATGATGCAGTTTCCACTGCGAAATTGTCCTGCCCTTGAAGAGATTCAAGTATTCAATTATTTTTTGTTGGTGTCGAACAGACGGACACCTTATGTTGATGATGAAACTCAATTATTTGGAAAATAATAGAGTAGCCAAAAGGTGAACCAGCAAAACTGGATCATCTTCGTTAATTTTCAAGGTTATGAGATTTTTTAACTACCGACCTGAATGAATATATATTAAACCATACTAACAATCAAGCAATTATATATTATAAACTACTACTCAGTTGAACTGCTGCGTGAACCTGGCGAAATAAAGCATACTGAACTTCGTGGAAAAATATTGATTCTGATGCGTTCGTTTTCTACTACATTTAACTTATATTTTTCAACGAGAAAAAAACAATATGCGGAAGTTGAATGCCGCAATGAGATCTTTCCAGAGTCCTTATCAAAAGTTTTACATGGTGATCCCTAAAAGCGTGACGAACCACGAATAATCGCTTTGAAATTGACCACCTCGTTTTTTATATTTTTTCGGAATTTGTGATTTTTTGTGATCAGAGAAATATATAATTTTCACTTCACTATCGTCACTTTTTTACCCCAGAAAAACTATTTTTGTGTGTTGGCTTCTGCAGATATCGTTCTAGCGATGAATGAGGATATATATTTGACGGTTGTAAATTGCCTAAATACATTCCCAAACTGATCGAGTGATCGACAGAAATTAGTAAAACAATTCAAAAGAGTAGTGATAAAAAAGTGACAATAGAAGATATCACCCTGTATATATATATTTGTAATCACAAAAATTCATTGATTCCGTATGATACGCTTTTAGGGATCACCCTGTAAAACTTCTGATAAGGGCTGGAGAAAGGCCTCATTTGTTCCTCGATGGGAAAATAACGTTAAATAGGGGTGAGCCATTTCGATGGATGACCCTGTACATATTACAATGAGACTTCCAGATGACATTTTCGACTATTTGAAATTTAGCATATCAGTGAATATTTCAGCCGTCCAATTGAGTAGCAGTTTATTATTAAAACAATTCAAATTACCTGATTCGTGGACTGGTGGTTGCTGCTATATCCGAACGGGATGAGTTGTTGACTCACCTGAAACAAGTTAAAACAAAAATTAACGTTCAATAAGATCACTTGGGCATTCGGTTCAATTGATAGGTAATACAAATCGACCTATGATGCTCCCAATAATAATACTCTTCGTGACGCACCGAGTTTTATTTTTAAACAATACATTCCGCGTGGCGACAAGGGAAACATCAAAATATGTTTTCCGTGTCCAAAACACCATCTCGATCCTGAGCACGTTATGGAAAAAGCATAATGAAAATGTTTTTGAAAAAATTGAGTATTCATTAGAGACATGTACTAAAAATTTTAAAATAATTATTTTCTCTGCGACCGCCACACATCCATTTACGAGTTCATTAGGAATGTAGTAAATTGCCTCATTTTATTAAACTAATAAAACAACTTCGTTTGATACCCATATCATTATTAGGGAGGAAGAGGGGGGGGGAAGAAATAGGTAATTCGCCATTCTATGTCAGCCGCCATATTGGATTTCAATTAATGTCATACAACTTGTATTTCACTTGTCATACCCTTTCATTTGTTACCCATGTCAAGATTGTAAAAGGAATAGCTATTCCGCTATTTTGTGTCGGGCGGCCATATTGAATTTGACGTGTGATACAACCTAATATATTCTACTTTTCACATCCTTTTATTTGATAGCCATGTCAATGAGATCTTTCAGAAAGTTGCCATCATATGGGACACACTTACTTTTAATAATGATTTATTTGAGACTCGCCTTGGGCGTTGAGTTTGGCTCAGAAAAAGTTGAAAAAAGACCTACTCGGTAAGTGTCACGTGACTTTCCTCACAATTTTTTTAATTAATCGCTGAAAATGGGCTTCTTCATATGAATTTGAATTATTTTGGATAATGTGCTCAAATTTGAAAGTTCAATTGCGACTTTCAGATTTTTATATTTATTCAATTTCTACGAAATTTTTGTAATATTATAAACTTCGACAAAACGGTTTCATGCCAGTAGGAAATTTCAATTACATACTAAAATTATCGACCTAACCAAAGTTTATGACAGTTTTGTCGAAGTTACAATTTATTTATTACAGTAATTTCTTAGAAATATAAAGATATCGAAATCTGAAAGTTGCAATAGTACGTTCAAAACTGAGAAGCTTGTGTATCGGAATAGATTCAACTTTTCCTAGTAAACGTTTCCGAAATTCGATAGACAGACCAGGTTTCCATGGAAGCGAAACCAAAAACATTCTTCAGATGCATAAATACAAAAAGCTCAGTTATATCCACACAATGTTCATAAAATCAACAATAATGGTAGATTTCGGGAGAAAAACAACTACTTTTCACGCAGAACATTGCATTAAATCCTCCCGAAATATATGCATCGACTCGTATAAACGAATACTGATACAAGTGAATCTTCCCTGAATGCCTATTGATTACGATTTAGCCAGGCCACGCTGGACACCTACATACCGATTTCGAGCTCTTTGACTCTCATCAGTGCAAGGCAGTCTCCAGCCAGCAGTCCTAAGACCGCCGACTAAGCGTAGCCTAGCCAAACAAAAATCAACTATCTGGGCTTCAGTATTCGTTTATGCGAGTCGATGCATAGATTTCGGGAGGATGTAATTTAATGTTCTGTGTGGTATTAGCCAGGAAAGTAGTTGTTTTTCTACCGAAATCTACCATTGTTGTTCATTTTATGAACATTGGGTGGGGAGCTTTTTGTATTTATTCAACATTTCATTCCACTTGCATTGTGATTTCGTAGTTGATTCTTCAGATATGTGAGATATTTGGGCAGTCTTCTTGTTGCAAAATCTGCTATTCTCGATAGAAAATAAGCGCACGTCACCTATTGGAGACAGACAGACAGACAGACAGACAGACAGACAGACAGACAACAGACAGACAGACAGACAGACAGACAGACAGACAGACAGACAGACAGACAGACAGACAACAGACAGACAACAGACAGACAGACAGACAGACAGACAGACAGACAGACAGACAGACAGACAGACAGACAGACAGACAGACAGACAGACAGACAGACAGACAGACAGACAGACAGACAGACAGACAGACAGACAGATAGATAGATAGATAGATAGATAGATAGACAGACAGATAGATAGACAGACAGACAGACAGACAGACAGACAGACAGACAGACAGACAGACAGACAGACAGACAGACAGACAGACAGACAGACAGACAGACAGACAGACAGACAGACAGACAGACAGACAGACAGACAGACAGACAGACAGACAGACAGACAGACAGACAGACCAGGTTTCCAGATAATTCGAAAAACTATGTGAGATATGAATTTTTCCGAAAAAGCTGTTTGTTTTTTCGTGTATGCCTCGCGAGAAAGAAAATCAATCATTGCTACGTGGATGCTAGTCCATATATAAATTCGTGCGAGCCGAAAAGCGAAATCTGTCGAGAAAATGTCGGGGAAATGTAGCGGTGGTGGTTTTTCCGTTCCGCGGTTCTGATATGGAAAACCGACACTGAATTATGGTTGGCCGGGACGGCGTCGTTTTTTTTTATGATAAAGACCGTCGAGAAGAGATATTTAACGTTGACAAATGGCATCGCGTTCGTACGAGGGATGAACTCGCCGAAGAAGTGAAAAAAACGTGCGAGAGTTACTGAATATACAGGGTGTTTCTTAAAAAATACTAATGATTATTCAAGGGAGTGATTGTTCGGCTCATTGTAAGAAAAAAAAATTCTATGAACGTATGTTCTAAGAAGTCTCAACCTTTGAGATACGGGGTGATAGATTTTTGAAAATAAATCCGTTTCTTCATAAAAACTGAGATAATCTCATAGACATGTTTATTTATTTTTATATAAATATGTTTTTTATGCATCAAGGTGAATTTTATTATTTACAAAAACGTTCAGTTATCAATTTATTTTTATGGAATGAATGAAAAATTATGTAATTGATAATGAACTCTAGAATGATTCTTATCTGATCTACTACTTTTTCAATTATTCATAAGGAATGACAGTTGGAAATCGACCAACAAAATCTTTGGATTCAAGGCGGCTTACGTTAATTTACCTTCATTAATTTTGACCAATGATGATGCGATCATAATAAATTATCTGAGAAATTAAAATTTCTTATAATACCCTTGAAGCAACCAAGAAATGCTTATTGATTGTTCCAACGATCCTTGCTATCCAAGAAAATGTTGGAAATATCAAACAAATAGTTATTTTTGTATCTAGAGCGCGAAATGCTACTTTGGTGATCGAGATCTGATTTTTTTACGAGGCGTAGCCGAGTTAAAAAAATAGTCGAGATGACCAATATATTTCGCGCTCGAGTTGCAAACAAATTTTTTTCTACAAACGTCAAAAAATATAGTTCTTAAGTAAAAATATGCCTAGCTTGATATAGAAAATAGTGTTGAACTGGCTTAAAAGCCTCCCACTATCATTCCTCGGTACGCACGATGATCCACGAGAATAATAGGGATTTTCTTTCGTGCGATCCAAGAGATAAAACAAAGCTATTGATGAACATTCAGAAATGAATGATTTCGTGAATGTTTTCTCGATTGGGGACCATAAAGTTGAAATATAAATATCTCATATATTTTACATAACAGTGCGCGAAGTAAGTACTTCGCGCACTGTTTTACTTCGCGCATTGTTATGTGCAAGGTATCATGGTAACGTAGGAAACTGAAAAAAAGTGTCACTTCGCAATTTGTTATCAATGCGCGAACCTTGTCATTTTTTGACGTTTGTAGAAAAAAATCATTTTTAGAGGCCTATTTTTTTGAGGGACTGTCACACCATCTGAAACAACGTTTGTTCCCATATAGAGATCTCGGTGGAGCTAGAAACACCCTGTACAAAACTCCAGGCCTGAATTTTTCGATTATTCAAATTTTCAGTTCAATGTTACATTGACCTTATCGCTTCCTCAATTTGCCAATATCCCCTAATGTTGCGATACAACATCCAGCCAAAAAAAAAATTCTCCTCGCTCAATGCTCTTGGCCCACATCCAAAACCCGCATCGTAACCGATACAAAATACACACGGTGTGTGTACACATCTTCGGATCCGAATCGCCAAACTACACTGGTCAACACTTGATACGTAAAATCGTAAATCTTCGATCAAAGGACCCTGAACGAAAACACGGGGAATTGGCTCTCGGTCGAATTGGCTGAAATTTTACCAAGTTTTGAATACTTAGTTTCTGATATACAGGGTGTATCTAAATAACACCGAAATTTATGTGATTAATAACTAGACATGTATATGAGTTCCGATCGATATACATTTTGTAGCTTACGTTGTCTTATTTATAGTGAAAAACAGTTTTTCTTTGTCAATCCTACCCCGATACGACGTTTTTACGAACTTTGTCGGCTTATATCTCAGGCATAAAAAACTTTCCCACAACCTAGTAAAATTTCAGCCAATTCGACCGAGAGCCAAATTCCCATGTTTTCGTGTGGGGTCCTTCCAATTACTTTCCAGTTTCTTGAGAGTTAGTTTCATCAATTATTATCTAGTCTCTTTTGGTGATTTAGAATAAGATATGGATACAGCATGATAATATCGTGCAATATTTAGACATTGTCAAAATGCTCCCGTTAGGACATAATATTTTTGTGTGTTCTGAGAAAAAAGTCTGATTTTTTGGTATTGTTTCCATAGAGTGAAATTTACAAACATCCCAGCTCATGAGGAAATGAAACATGACTGACTGATTGCATAGTGATGGCCTTCAGATTTCGAAGTCACTGAGTTTGAGATAAACAACAAACTTGGAGGTAAGGGAACATTGATTTCAGAACTAGCCTGTTTCTGAAGCCATATTTGTACAACCCACAAATTTTCGAGTTTTCCTTAAACTTATGTGAACCTCATGACCAGTGAGAGCGATGTTTATGAATCTCAGCATTTTTTATCATTTTCATCGTTAGATCTTCTAATAAGTTCTCTATTTTCTGATGAAACTGCGTAAAAGAATGTCTCACTT